CATATCGTCCAAACGCGGTGAATGAGATTTGAGACGAGCATTTTTCAGGATTGTATAATACACAAACGACCAACTACGTCACCATGTCTTCATGCCAAAACTTTTACAGAGGACGGCGGAGGGGACGCGACAATCGTACTGGGATGACGACGAACAGCATCAATTCCGGTGGCGGCGGCGGCGGCCCCGATCGATCGATTCGTAAACGGTACGCGAAATTTCAATATCAACAAACGATATCGAAACGCGGACGGCACGCGATTTGTGACGACACCGCACTATCTCGTCCGCAGACGAAACGACGACGACGACGACGACGACGCAGCGGTGCAATATCGGAATATACCGCCGACACACAAGGTACACACGACGAGCGCGATAATGTATATGTATTTTATAAACAATAATAATTATTGTCGGTCGCGTGCAAACAGCGTCCGCCGCTATCAGCGCGCAGAGGTGCGTGTGTGATGCGGTGGTGCGCGCGTGCGTGAGACAACACGATAACGTCGAATGAAAAAGGAATAACAACAACACGTACCGCGCGAACGACCGTGTGGACGCAACGCGCTGTCTCGGCGATCGGTAGACTCACTGCTACGGCCGGCCGACGGCGAGATACGTTCGGCGCGGCGGCTGCGTGGCCGTGGCGGCGGTGGCAGAAGGGAATGCGGTCGGACCAATCGGCGCGACCGGTCGTGAACGGCATCGGCCGCCTTGGCAAAGCCGCGACGCGCGGACCGGCGGACGGTGGACGGGGCTCGGTATGCGGGCGGGCGGACGGTACGTACCGCGGCGGCCGTTTGCGAGCGTGCACGCCGGTGCGCGCGGTTCGGTCCCAGACTTGGTGAGCACATGCACCAACGAAGTACACAATATTACACCGCACGTACATGCGTCTCTCTCTCTATATATATATATATATATGTTATATATTATAACACAATAATATTATTACTCATTGTTCGGCGTACAATATTTTTGATAGGTGGGCAAACGTTTTTTTTTTTTTTTCTATTTATCTCTTTCGTCTGCGCGGCACAATACACGTTCTCGTCTTACCCCTACATAATATTATATTATAACCGACCAAAAACGTACAATATTTAATATTTCATTATCATGTGCGTACAGGGCGGTCAGGGTGATCCTACTCACTTGTCCTCATGCCCCGAGACAAATTATTTAGCCATGCGTTTTCGCTCGCGAAGTTACTAATCGCCGATTTGCCTAATACTCGTCCCGAGCGGACAGGATCAGCACTGCACAGTGATTGTTGTACTTTTACGTTCGTTCGAGTTGTGTAACTTGTGAGTGGAAATTCGATTTTAATTTTTATTAGGTACACGAAAATCTCCAGCAAAATGTTCCGTTTCGAATTTAAAATGTACGCCGTCGCCGTCGTTTCATCGTTTGTTACATAGCAAAAAACTGAATAATAACACAATGGTCTAGGCACCTTAACCAATATAAACGTACCAAAATATACGATGTCATGACTCATGACAACTAATAAAATTATTTAAAAAAAAAAAAAAAAAATCCCTGAACTTATACCGGGAAAGCCGACCGGTTTATGGTTGAAGAATCACTCTGTATATCATTATTATTATGTCTGCATTATATTATGTGATATCGTTATGGCCGAAGCCGCGCGGTTGTCGTGTCCGCGTTTCAGAAAAGAAATCGGTCGGGACCGGTGGTGAGGAAGAGGATGAAAAAAATAATAATAATAAAATACGGAATACGTGTATACACAATAATAATAATAGTAATAATACTGTCGTACATCGGGAAAACGCGTGAACAACAATGGTGAATGGACGGCCGTTGCCGTCGGTACGTGGTGTATTGAGAACACCGTGACATTACTATACGACGTTACCTATTATAATAGTGTGTATATGCAGGCATATGGTGGCTAGGACGTTTCGTAAGAAAAAAAAAAACCAAAAATATTAGAATCCTCGACAACCGTGGATTTTTGATTATTTATGAAATATAATATGTAATATTTTTTTTTTTTCCAGTAAGTAAACGTACCCAACATACGATATTATATGGTACGTAATATGCGTCGACGACGTAGTATTTTTTATTTTATTTTTTTTATTTTTTTATCGCATACGCGACCGTGTCAAAAACACAATGCATATAATAATATATAATAACATAACATTATTACCTATATAGCTATTTACCACGATGAACTCGCGTCATATTCATCATACACGTCGTAAATAACACGCCAAGACGGACATGAAAATTTATGCATTTAATGTATTATATTAAAAACAATATTATACATTTTTAAGGCTTATCCAATAATAATATAGCCGTTCTTTGCCGTAATTATATTTTATTATAAAAGACAGGTTAAATATATATATATATATATATATATATAATAATTAAAAACGATTTTTGTTGATTTATCGACACCGCTCACGTTTAACGAGGTTTTTAATGATTTTATTTTTATTATTATTGAGAAATGCCTACTGGCACAACTGTATACCGTACATCTATTATAATATATATTATGCATGTACGAACCATGACGCGTGTGCGTATTAATGACCTATTCAATTAATTAAAAATTCATTTGGCATAACGTCTTAGTAACCGAAATCTTCGCACGTTCATCGCATATTATAGACACGTTTTTTTTTTTTTTCATCGTTTGTTGTGAAATATATAAAATACGTTTAATAATAACCATTAACGCTGCAGACGCTATTCTAATATATTGAATTACGAGTACATTTTGAAATTTGATTTGTTAGTTACCTGCAATTAAAATGTTATAATAACTTACGTTAATGCATACAAATAGCAATATTACTAAACATTAAACAACACAATTTTATTATACCTAACATAAAAATATTAAAATAAAAAAGTCAATTATATTTATTGAAAATAATTACATGATTACCTATGTAGATTGACTATTTTATATGACTCATATCATGTTAAAATAATTTAACATATCTAATATGATATATATTTAATCTTTTTATATAGGTAAAAATTTTAAATTAATTTTTTTTTTTTGATCAGCGAATATCACTTAAATTTTAGATTTAACCACTCCTCCCGAATTTAGGCTTCAATAAGCCTCTGATGTTTGTACCTGAAGACGATTTAAATATCTACTGTAAATTATCTACATAAAAATGTATTCTGGGAAACTTAAAGAGTACTTTAAATTAAATTACATAATTTGTTTTGTACCAAATAGCAAATAATAATATTCATTAAGTTTACTACTTAATGCGCTTATCCCTTTATATCCCTTATATACAGACCTACAGATAGAACTAGCGAGTTATTGCATTTAACTCAGTGGGCCTGTCTTTGTAATTGTTCTAACCTATAATTGAATAAGTTTTGAGCTAGTAAAAGTTCTAAATATCGGTGGACCGATAATTACCCTATTACCACTATTGGCACTGTAATGGCCTATTAACACTACTTTTATATGCAATAGTTCTATGAATTTTAAACGAATTCACATTTTTCCTGATTAGATCAAATTACGAGAATGAGATATTCCGTCTTCCGTATACACTATACAGTTAAGTATGTTGAATGTCGGCTGAATACAACACATGGACACATCTGGAATACCTACAAAAACTATCCAAGATTGTTTCTACAGCTGCCTGCCACAAAAATTACATATATGTTTAGTACGGAAATTTTAATTTATTAATTTTGAAAACTATTTAAAATGTTTTAAATATACATCACAATTATTTATAAATGTAAATTATATTGTAACAAAGATGTAACAAATACACGAAATACCTAATTGTAAAAATTATATGCTTATAATATAACTTGTATAGTATAGTAGTAGGTAATAATACTGACAAAATAATATATACTGCAGTCTTACAAGGTAATTCATCAAGCATGATCACCTTTATATTATTTCTTTGATAATTAATTCAATCAAATTCTAATTTTTGGAATTTTAAATTAAACTTAGTGACCTTATTTTTTAATACTTAGATTGTTAGATTTTATATTTTACATCGATTATAAATGTGGTAATATCAACTTCTTTTTAGATTAAAGTACCAACTATAGATTAAAATTAGATCTATTTATTATGGCATTGAAAACCTATTTTTAAGGACTTCCAAAAAAAATTATATGTTTAGTAATTTGATAAACCTAGTTCGATATTTTCATATATTAAAATATACCATGGAAAAAAATGTCGACATTGATGAAGTAATCAAAAAATTTAAAAAAAAATGGTTCCATATGACCGTCGTTTAGTTTTATAAATATTCTTTGATCTTTTTAAAATATTGTCTTGACTTATATAATATTTAAATTTATTAATTATATTACTTTAAAAAATATAAATTTTATTGTTAAATTGTAATTATTTTAAACTTAAATGATTTTTAAATATATTCCTATGTTCTCTAGAATGCTACGAAAATATTATAGTCATAACTCATAAGTAATATGTTAAATCAAAGACGTCTTAATTTAAACTTTAAACAAAAAAATTACCTATTGAACTGTAAATAGGTACTTATTATGTATGAATTATTACTTCTATTTTTAAATAAAAATGTATAGTTACTTAAAACAAATATGCAAAAGTGTAATATACACATGAGTTAAAAAAAAATAAAAATGATATCAAGAATTTTTCTCTTCCTTCTCTCCACAATTTATAAATACGAGTTTGAATTAACTGAGAAAAGTGGCCCATTATAATAAAAATCTCTTATTCCGCCTATTATTATAGTTTTTTTTTTTTTTTAAGGTAGGCATTATAATATTTATACCTAATAATATTTATTAATCACGATAATCGCGACCCTCGATAAAATGTATACAGTTAACAGCTAAATTTAAATGACATTATGTTCACTGTCGTCGTCGTTCGAACGTTGTACTACTGCTTACCTAAGATTACTTAGTGTATATATTGAAATAAAACACTTTATACAAATTAAAATTAATTACAGCCCATTTAATTATTAAGCATTTTGGTCCATTTGTCGGATTTAGTGTATTCATATACAGTAGTGACTAGTGATCATTTAAAATACAATCGTACAGATACCAGAGTAGTGAAATTTAGAGTCGTATGAGATTTCGCGTTAGCATAAAGCTGTGTCTACCGTCTATTGTCTAACATTGGTGTGTTGTTCAAAAATCACTTCAAGAAGGCACCAACTAATATTGCAAAATCAAACAGACACAGAATAACAAGTAACAACTATCATCAATATACATCGAAAGTACAAAGGTAAGAGCTTCCTTATTATTGACTGATCCTAAAATTCCTTAGTAAAATCGATTTCCGAATAAGTATAGTGTCGCGGAAATGAGATTAAAGTAACATATTTTTCAATATTAAATAAAGATTAGGTTTTTGCGATTTGCTTTAGGTTTATAATCTGTCCTCATATCAAGTCTATTATAAAAATGTCAGATAACGCGTTGTTCATTAATCGTTGTGGTGTTTTTAAAG